GGGCGGGTTGTCGGGTTCTGGTTCTTCCACGTCCTTATCTGTAAGAGGGGAGGGTGTACAGCCCATTTCACAGGGCCCAAGACTGAATGAGCTAATCAGTGTTACTTAATACTGTTATTTATTATTAGCAAAACTTCCACGTGAGCCTTCTGCCGGTCCTGCCGGCCGGCAGGACAAGCCTTTGGGGACTGGCCCTCATCCCTCTGGCTCTGGGGGCTCTGACACAGAAACAGTCCGGGGCACTGTCTAGCAAGAGGCCCTGCCCCCCACCGGCCTTTCCCACTCTTCCTGAAGGTAGGTGAGGTCTGACCTCTCCAGATGGATCTAGAGAAAATGATGCCCACTAAGGGCTCTGGAACCAGACACTGACAGGCTCCCCTGCTGTGCGACCTTGGGCCAATTGCTTAACCACTCTGAACGTTGGTTTCCTCATCCGTACAAGGGGGATGAAATGGTTACCTCCCTTATGGAGATTTGATGAGGATTAAATGAGATAATGCCCAGTGCCTGACACACAGTAGGTGCTCAGCAAGCATGAGCTATAATTGTTATCAAGGCCAGGGTCCCCTGTGACCATTGTCAGGGTGTTCCTTACCCCCATCTTTCCACCCCAACATGGAGGCAGGCGACCAGCTTGCTAGGCCGGGTTAAGGATGTGGTTTAGTCAAACAAAGAACTGCTGATGGAATCAATCTGAAAGCTTCATTTGCCACATACATTAAATTGATGCAAAAAAAAAAAAAAGGAACCCTGGAACATGTATGCGTGGCTGGTTGCCATGTAAATGGTTCAACCCTTTTGGAAAGTGGTTCTTGGCCACAGCCATAAAAAATCAATATCCTCTGACCCAGTAATACCTCTCCTGGGAATTCAGCCTAAAGAAATAATTCAACAGACTTCAAAAGAAAAAAAAAAAACTATCTGCATGAAATTGATCCCGCAATGAGCATCTAGAAGAAAAATAATTAGGAGCAACCTACATCTCCAGCAAAAGAGAAGAGATGGTCAGAGCAGTGATGGATAGTGGAGCCAGAGATAGATCCCAGCATATCATGGCCATCATTCAAACGGTAATTACCAGCAACCGGTAATTCTGGAACAATGTCTACATCTGGATAAAGGACCAGAAGGGGCTGAAAAAAATGGATGAAATAGTGGAATTAAATGCGATTTTTCCCCCCAAAACACATTTTGACTTTGTTTCCGTTAACAGCCACGACCGTAACAACAAAACCAAAAACACAGGCAAGAAGATAAATAATTTCTCCTAGGCTCACAAACAGGGTTCTCACTTGAGGCCTCGAGGAGAGGCTGGGCCAGTGTGACCTTCCCTCCCCTTTGGTAGAGGGCTCGTGGGGTGAGGGAGGGGGTGATACAGAGACGGGCCAGGTGGGGACGGGCAGGGATGCGCAGAGGGCTGCGGGAGCAGGAATGGGGGTAGGAAAAGGTCAGTGTGCGATCAGGGAGGGCCTCTGGGAGGAGGTGTCCTCAGAGCAGACTCTTGGCTGATGAGTATGGCTACTCTGGGGGTAATCTGGGCAGAGGCAAGAAGGAAATGGGAGACGGGCCAGCTCTGTAATGAGAGCCTGGGAGCAGGCTGAGGGGTTTGCACCATGAGGAAGCCCCATGATGGGCTTAAGGAAGATTCTTGGGGCTTAAGGAAGATGGATGGAGGGGTGTGCCTGCAGTGGGAGACAACTGAGGAGGCTGCTGCAAGAGAGGTGAGGTCGACTGGAAGGAGGGCAGGGCGGGAACTAACCATGGCTTATCAGAGCACACCTGAAAAGCGGGTCGGCGGAGGACCTGAGTCCAGGTTGGGGCACCATGAGGGCAGGGGGCCAGTGTGACGTCCAGAGGGAGGTGCTCAGGAAGCGGTTGGATCTACCGGTCTGGAGCTCCGGAAAGAAACCTGGGCTGGATGAAGCTGGCTGGGGCACCACAGCGGACTGGGCGTTGGGAGCCTCCGGGTGTGGCTGAGTTCACCCAGGGAAAGTGAGAAGAGAGCCAGGAGGGGTGCGACCGATAAAGGAGGAGGACCCCGAAATGGGACACAGAAGCAGAGAGGGAGGAAGAGCAGGTAAGAGGTGTCTAGAAGCCAAGGGCCCGGAGATCTTTAGGAGGGAATGATCACTGGGGTCAGATGTTGGAGAGGCGTTCATCAAGGTAAGGACAGAATCGTTCCCATTCAATTGATCGTCTTGGGTGACGGCCCCAGAGCACGTTCAGCGAGCTGTAAGGGGAGAGAGGTGAGTGGCGAGAAAACAGACCCTGAGAATCTGGGGGCAAGCTTTTGAGGATATCGGATGAAGAGAGGGGAGGAAGAAGACAGTAGCTAACGAGAGCACGCGGTTCCGCTGAGCTCAGGAGTCTGACCCCACAACTGTCAGGGTCCAGATCCCAGTCCCTCCCAAAGACCCCAGGGAGATTGGCTCTGGGGCTGCCAGGCCCAGAAGGCAGATCTGGTGGGCAAGCAGACCCCCGCCTTCCTGCCTCCAAGTCCACCGCGCTCAGAAAGCAGGAAGGGCGTGTGTAGGGAAGCCAGGGCTCTCCCAACCCGGGAGGCTGGTCTGGTGACAAATCCCAGGCGCCAGGATCCCCACCCCCCCAACCTCAGCAGGCTAACTGGAGGGGAGCCCACCCTGCCAAATGCACAGG